TGACCTGGATGACTGAGAACCTTCACAGACACAACGCATTCACAAAGATTCTGCTACAAAGATGTTAGATCACAGTTTGAGGTTATAACATCCCAACACAAGTAGAAACTCTGGAGGCACGATGAACATTCAAATAACGCCCAGACTCTTTGCTTGTATTCAGCACCGATGTTACAGTTCATGTTTTTAAAGCTTGTTAATATTTCTATGTGTTTCTGCTGTAGAGTTACACAGAAAGTCAAATGTTTTTGTTCCAAAATACTGATCACACAAACATCAGCTGACTAGTCTCAAATTATGAACTTCAGCAGGTTTATACAACAGTAAGGACAGTAATATTGGCCTTATATTTAGGGATGGGTACCGGTTCTGACATAAATGGTAGTAACCAGACCGAAAAGCAGCGCACATTTCGGTGCTTTATTTTTTTTCCTGAGCTGTGATACACTTTGGATTCTAGCCAATCATTTTACGTTTCCAAGGATAGTAGGCGGGTCCAGGTACGTACGTTCTTTTAGAGCAGAGCTACAGATTAAAAATGCCCAAGGCGAAGCGGTCAAAAGTCTGGCTGTACTTCACAGCAAAAGATGCAAACTCAGCAGCCTGCAACAAGTGCTTTAAGTGATACTGTGCAAAGGAGGTAACACCTCGAATCTGATGAAAAACCTGGCGACGCATAGCATTTTTTTAAAAGCCGAGAAATGCACCGAGTTAGCAACATCCCCCAAGAACCCGAAGAGGAGAGTCCTGGCCCCTAGCCCTGCCAGTGTAGCAGAAATGATGAGGATGATGATGGCAGCAGCAGCTGTTCTTCTCTGCGTGAGTAGCTTAATGTTGTTCGTGTGTAATTTACGTTGAGTAGGCTAACCACATTATTACATTAATGCATGTAAGGTGAACTAGCAAACAGCGTCGTAGTTACATGCGGCTGTCTTCTTGTTTGATAGAGTGAACCATATATGCCCCATAGCTGCAGCATCCAAGTTACATGTTTATTAAAGTAATCAAATTACAGCATTTATGTTAGACTACTTTTAATTAACTGCTTTAGCCCACTTACAATGAAAATTTAAAACAATCTTGTTCATCACCTGTGTAGGATGTTAACACTATTGGAAGTAAAAATAACTTGAACTCCAATTTTGAAAACACAACTTTCTTTTTTTTATAAAGCTCTGATTTGTATTATGAGTCTGTGGTCTGGGAGAGAGTCTGTAACTCTGTCTGCAAAATATAGTATATAATGACCAATGTTGGGTAATTAATTATATAGTTACTTCTTCAAAAAAGTTACTGAGTTTTGCAAACAACAAAGTTTTTTGCAGCTGTTTACCTAAAAATGCAGCCAAGGCGTTTTTTTAAATAAACATTTCAAACTATTTACAGAACAATCAGCTGTTCTGCATCAAATCTGATGCCACACAAATTATTTGTGCCACTCCAAAAAATATTTTCTGTCCACTATGAGACACCGATGAAACACCAGTGTCGGCACATGAGGAATGCTGAACATTTGCCTGTTTAAATCATGAGACCAGTCACTATACAGAGATGTGCTTCTGAATGTGAACGATGTGTCTTCTGCTGCAGTGATGCAGTTCTGCTTGTGTTGAGTGATGTAAACAACTGATCGATCTAAACTCTTTAAACGTCAAAATTGATCATTAGATTTTTTATGACACAGCAGTGGTGAGTGTTCCCACCTTCTGCTCTTTGTAACTTAACGCGATCTTTCCGTTTTCGAGTTTTGGACATGATTTTGGAGGATATCTTCACAGTAGCCATTGACCACAAAGAAAAGCTACCGGAAATGCACAACCCTACATCCGGTCTCAAACCAGGAAGTTAGCATTTTCTCGTGCACAGGGTCAATTCAGGTTTTTCTTTTTTTTGTGCGCAACGCAGATTTTTTCTGCGCACAGACCGTGGCAGCAGTGCGCAGCTTTGAGGGAACATTGCCGGTTTGGCACTGGTATCGGATAAAACCTAAACGATACCCATCCCCACTGTAAGGGTTTTTTAGTTAGAGCAAACACACCATACTGTACTTAGACAGACTGACCTTCATGTTTGTGCACCATATTTATGCAACTGTGTTACCAAAGATCACATTTTTGATATTTTTCAAACACTTTATGCACAACATGCAGTAGAACTGTTTGAGTCCCACTAATCTTGTGGTAGTATTACACATTGTTAGCAGAAAGTGGTAAGAGTAACGCTAATACAAAACTAAAAACAACATATCAGGTCGGTGTGAATCAGAATAAACTCAGAGCACATAGTACTGATGGGTGAAACTGAGTTTACAAGACTCACTTTTTGGTATTTGGCTCTACTGATATTAGTACGTGATATATAAATGGCTTAGCAGATACAGTAGACAAAACCCACCATATCAGTATCATGGTTCTGTCCAGTTTTTCCCATATGTGCTGAAAACTCCATCACACAGACACCTATTTCACATTTCAATAATATCTTATGTACGCATTTCGCATCTAGATTAACAGTTCAGTGCGTCTAGAGGCACTGTTAATTTACAAAGTTGTTAGACTCAAGAAGGCTGTCCTTCCACCTGTGTTTCTGCCAGCCTATATTCCTGTGCCATCGATCTACTAATGATCCATTTTCAGCTTATCCTTTTCAGAGTCGCGTGGGGCGCTGGAGCCTATCCCAGCTGTCATAGGGCGAGAGGCGGGGTCCACCGTGGACAGGTCGCCAGTCTGTCGCAGGGCTAACACACAGGGACAGACAACCATTCGCACTCACTTTCACTCGCACATTCACACCTAATGGCAATTTGGATTAATCAATTAACCTATCCCCACAAGCTGCATGTCTTTGGACGGCGGGAGGAAGCCGGAGTACCCGGAGAGAACCCACGCAAACACGGGGAGAACATGCAAACTCCACACAGAAAGACCCCGGCCTGATGGTGGAATTGAACTCAGGACCTTCTTGCTGTGCGGCAACAGTGCTAACCACCGTGCTACCGTGCTGCCCGTGTGTGGTTATTCGTGGCTGCTTTCATTTTGTGTTGTAACAGGCTGAATAATCATTTTGGGTTTGTGACTGTTGTACTCCTTTGTGTTGGTCACATGGTACTTTTTGTGTGTGTTCAGTGTGGTAACTTCAGATCCTCATGTAGGGGCATCCATGCTTAAAGATGCCAACTAAAGAAATGTGAGTATTTAGTACTAAGGAGAGCTGGTAATAAAGTGCTCAAGCTTATTTTTGAGGGATGAAGGCTTCAGAGGGGCTTTTAATAAATTTAGGGGTCCTAGAGGAACCCTTTTGAGGGAGGAGGTGTTACGTCCCTCTGCAGCCCCTAATCTCCTCAATGTTTTCAGCTGGTGCTAATTGGCCACACCTAGTCAGGTGTGGATAAAAGCATACCTGAGGCAAGCTCCCAGAGAGTTCACTTGTCTTTGCCTTGGTGGCATCAGCCATTTTAGCCAACCTGGTTTTCCATTTTAAGATAAAACCTCTTCTCACCCATACTCTGGTATTCGTCTCCTTTTTTTATGTTGCGGCTTTGAGCCGGGTCGTAACAACATCAAAACCAAGCTGTAGCCTCCAAGGTGGAACAATAAAACCAAAACATTAGCACCAACAACTGCAGTTCCTCTAGCAGCCACTTGAGGCTGGCTTTAAAACCAAGTGAGTCCCCATGGACTCCAGAAAAGACAGCGTCCTTAAACTGAAACATAGCATGTTTGAACCTGATGTTAAAACAATTCAAGTCTCTGTAGCTACACATATAGAAAGTTTCATAACCTACATTTGCATGAAAGCCCTTTGCAGGATGAACAGGTGAGTTTGCTGCACTGTGATGGATTTACAGTAAAGAGCAGAGTGTGACTGCTGCACAGTGACTGTGGTGCTTATGGTCATAGTTGGGTTACATCAAGTGTAGCAGAGATTCATATGAAGTTAAGCTGATGATGCTCAGATCCACTGACTGAATTCCACTTTCATACCAACTTTATTTCCCACCCTGAGCCACAACAGCTGATTTTGGGGTTCCACACCTGCTGGATCCACTTTAACTCGTCCCTTCTCATTTTCCTGTTAGAGCTAAAGTCACCCTCTACAGTGGAGCAGCAGAAAATACAGATCATTTTGATTTTCCTTCTTTTTTTCTGCTCATCTTCTACTTAATAGATTCAAGCTGAGTGCCTTTATTGGAATTAAAATTAAGAGTCAAATAAAGTTTGTGTTCAAATCTACTCATATTATTATTACATTAATATAGCACAAGGTTCAGGTAGCTTTGCATAGAAATAGGTGGTAGAAATGTTCTTCAAGGAGCTACTTTCACTTTCTTACTCTGAGTTAGTACGTTTTCACTTTTACTCAAGTAAAGTAGTTGAATCAGTACTTCAACTTGAGTATTTTTTTAACACTAGTATCTGTACTTCAGCACAAGTACACGATGTCTGTAGCTGTGCTGAAGAGGACGTCTCCATTGCCCTTGTAGTTAATTCTATCATTTAGCACCACTTCCCAATATCATCACGTTTGGCTTCATAATCCCAAACACTGTGGTGTCATATTCATTATATTCATTTTCTAGTTAAAACCAACATAATAATGTTTGAGGAACGGCAACATTTATAGTACTTTGTGCAAGTTTTCCCACTATTGGTTCCTCATAAGCTCCTGTGGAAACAGTTTGTATGAAATACAGTTATTATCATGTTATTATTGACTAATGTCCTTCTTGTTTGACTATAAATCGTCTGTTCTGAGAAAAGTTTTACCAAAGTGACACTTTGGCACAATTTGAAAATGTATGAACTTGTGATGAAGGTCATGTATGAATGGTTCTTCTTTCACAGGCAATTCTAATTGAAATCAGAGCTGTCTGATTTATACCACAGCATTCAATAGTTGTTTAATTTCACTATAATGTCACGTGCCCTGCTGCTCCATAACTAACAGCATTACACTGAACATGAATCACTTATTGTTGTCTCATTATTTCAACAGATTACCTGCGTAAAACAGAGCAGGGTAGGTTTCCAGCGCGAGCCTCTCACATACGCACACATGTGCATTTGAACACAAGCGCATATTAATGGCCTCGCCTCCAGTGTTCCCTGCAGAGGAAAACCACATCCATCAGTCCTCCAACACAAACCACACACTGCTCTCTCATAACTATGCTCAGAGCAGAGTGAGAGCTAGTACAAGCTAAGTGCTTTCCAGCCACCACACTCAGGTCGCACTAACACAGAAGCAGGAGATGATGTATTCTCCACAGGGACGCTGCTGCTCGGTAAGGGACAGCTGCTGGAAAAAAGCAAGAAACGTGATTAATAGAGTGTTGTTTTATTTCTTTGTTTTTATCTGAATAACCTTTGTTTCCACTTGGGCAACATGTTTCAGGTAAAAGAAATATGTATGATCACATTTCTGTCAGTGTTTGTCTTGCAAGGTATCTGCAGCTGAGCAGCTTCCAACTATCTTGGGTGAATAGACTTTAGAAAGTTCACTTGGAGGCTTTAAATCTGTCCAAGCAGGAAAGACATCTTCACCTACATGCTACCTCAACGACTCCTGATGGTTTTACACTCGTGTTATGACGACACTGTACTTCATTGTTTCCAGTGGCTTCTGCCAGGCCGTGGCAGTTTATCGGTGTTTCACACAAACAACACACTAGAATAAGTACCCGTGTGGACGGGACGAACGAGGCATCCAACCAGGCACAGAGGACAGAAATGAGGACGAGACGATACTGGGTGTGTGAATCCTCTGATTTCTATGATACAAATTGGTGCTTTTCTTGATGTAGCTGGAGGTAAGCAGGAAGTTTTGTCAGGTAAGTTTTAGCCATCAGTCAGGTAGCACAACACTTGTGTAAACATAACTGGCAATGCTCACAATGCTCTCATATTAGCTGCCAACCTACTTATTTAATCCTGCTTGGATACGTCCACGGTGGAAACTTTCCTTTTTGCTATGTATTAACAGACCTCTCTGCATTGAATCATATCTGTTATTAACCTCTGTCTCTCTTCCACAGCATGCCTTTATCCTGTCTTCCTTCTCTCACTCCAACCAATCACAGCAGATGGCCCCGCCCCTCCCTGAGCCTGGTTCTGCTGGAGGTTTCTTCCTGTTAAAAGGGAGTTTTTCCTTCCCACTGTCGCCAAAGTGCTGCTCATAGGGGGTCATATGATTGTTGGGTTTTTCTCTGTATGTATCTGCTGGAGGTTTCTTCCTGTTAAAAGGGAGTTTTTCCTTCCCACTGTCGCCAAAGTGCTTGCTCATAGGGGGTCATTTGGGTTTTTCTCTGTATGTATAATTGTAGGGTCTACTTTACAATATAAAGCACCTTGAGGCGACTGTTGTTGTGATTTGGTGCTGTGTAAATAAAACTGAATTGAATAGAATTGTTATAATTCAATAAATCTGTGTTTGTCTGTTCATTGCATTTTTCAAGCAGCATTTCTCTGATTTATTTCAAAGTTGGTGGAAATATTGCTTTAAACACAAATATGTACACTGTTGAGTTTGAGTTTGTATCAGTGAAAAGATAATGTTATATATATAATAAGAAAAAAACTAGCAGTGACTATAATCATAACATTCAACTCTGCTGTAGTGGTGTGTGTGTAGTGTGTGTGTACAATAAAGAGATAGTGTCAGTGTGGTGTGTGTAGATAAAAGATATAATGTAAAAGAATAGATATAAGTTGCGCAAGAAAAATAGTAGGGTGTGTGTTGGTTGTGAGAGAGGCAGGAGAGAGTCAAGTGTTATATTTTGCCAGCAGAGACTTTACAGAAGAAACAGGTCATAATTGTTATTGTTACATATCAATATAGGATCTGTTGACCCACCTCGACAGAGAGGCAGTCGTGTCTGCCTGTGCGTCTCTTCATCAGTCTAATCATTCCTGATTTCTTTCCTGCTGACTGAGTCCACCATGATAACAAAAACCTTTTCCTCCTCCTAAAGTCTCAAGGCTGTCAGTAACACACGTGCATCCTTGGTTGGAGGCCATAAAAACAAAATACTCACATCTACTAAGGAAATTATGTAAGAGCTTGAATATGTTCGTCCTTGCATGTATTTACACTCAAAAAGCAGTTTCATGTGTGTCACGCTTGTGTGTGTCCTTCCTTCATGAAGGTTTCTTCGGCTGTTGAATTATTTGCATTTTTACTTTGCTTGATCACATCACAGAGACTCTGCGAGGCAGCACCACGTGGTCGTACTCGAGGCGCACACAGCGGTCTGTTACTGCAGTATTAGCTTGATAATAAACTGACTGCATATTTTATTTTTCTCTCATCCATCGACACCATCTGACTCATTTGAGATGAACCAATCACATCAAAGCTTCTGTTTGAGGGTGATGACATCATCTGTGGTGCATGCCAAACGCATGCAGCGATGCCATCTGGAGGGTGCTGACTCAGCACAACACTCACACACACGTCTGATCACTCCAGCTCACACACTCGTGCACGGTAGTCAACGACACTAAAAACCAATTTGTCTGATTTGGTTCTGGTAGGATACACGGAGGTTTCTGCCTACACGGGACACTTTGTCAACACTAACAGCATTTTATTCAATTTAAGAGAGCGTATCTTCCAAAGAACAGCATCACATTTACAAACTTCTACCTCAGATTAGAGGTAGGAGTGTTTTTGGTTTTCCCACATTACTCAGCACACACACACACACACACACACACACACACACACACACACACACACATTTGTGAAATATGTTCTGGGACCTTCAGGATTCCAAGCACAAGCATGAGAAGCATGAGGGCTGCGGTCTGTATGAAGCAGGATCGTGTCTTATTCAGTTAACTGCAGAATTAAACACTCAGTAGCACAGGAACAGAGCGGGAGGGAGAGAGAGAGCCAGGGACAACAACGTCACATTAGAAAGGTATAGTAATCATCCACAACTATTTTC